CTTGTCTACACTAGGAAACTATTTCTAAATTAGTAAAATCAATTTAATAATTCCAGATTTAACAAAATCAAACTAGCATGTCCAGACTACATGGAAGCCTCAAAATTAGTCTGAGGCAGGCTCCCTTATTGTGGACACACTACCTCGGACTTAGAGCCCCAGGAAGCACTGAGGAGTAATTAGTTCAAATTAATCTGGGGAGTAGTTATTTCGAAATAGTGGCACCACTGTCTCTACATTAGCACTATTTTGAAATAACTATTTCGAAATTAGCATTACTCCTGATAAAAAAGCAGGCGTACAAATTTTGAATCCCATGGACCATTATTTCGAAATAACGGGCATGGTTGTGTGGACGCTCCGCTTATAAATTCATCTTGTGGGGGTTATTTTGAAATAAAGTCTTAGTGTGGACCAGGGCTTAGTATCACGTTCTGAACTTTACAGCCAAGAATAATATTTTGCATGTGTCAGGCGCTTTACAGGGATAAAGCAAGTTAAAACCCCTTCACTAAAATTAAGATTTTTTTATTTTTTCATGAAATTGGAGGAGAAAATGAGGAGATTGAAAGCATCAACATTTTTAAAATGTTAGTGCTAATGACGAAAATGGATCAAAAGGGATTTACTGTGTGTTTTAGGTTTGCTCCTAACCAAATACAGTACAGAAAATTAAAATTGTAGCAGCATCTGCTACATTGTAGCATTGTAGCTGCAATTCATCAAATAAAGATGTATTAAAAGAGGTCTCTGTTTCATAACGCAGTGGTATATTCCATTATATTACGACACAATTTGATGGCCACCATAACCAGATATATCACGTGAGACTCTATAGGGCCACACAGCAAATACCTTTGCTTGCACCAACCTTGTGTGAAATGGCCTGTTAGGGAGAACCATGTGGCAACCTTGGACGTTAAGAAGAAAATGTAAGGCACAAGTGACAAGCCCCCAAGATCCACTGAACGTCAATGGCAGATTGGCTCCCGTTTGTGCTTTTGAAACCCTCCCACTCAAACAATCCAAGAGGCAGGCTTATAACAGCACTGACTCCCCTCAGGGAGCATAGTTAAAACTTCTAGAGTTTTGAGAAGGTATTATTGTGACAAAGTGATCAGTGAGAGACATTCTATTAGAGCTAGGTGGGAGGCAGGAGACTCCCAGAGCATTCAGTTCAAAGAATACCTATGTAGACCTGATGCTATAGAAAGACATCAGCAAGCTGCAATTCACCAAATAAGGCATTCTGCAGGCTGTGGATGGGAGGATGGAAGGGGCTGTGAAGATGTGCATTTGAAATGCTGAGCCTTTTTACACCTGAAGAGATTACAGTGCTTAGCTCAGAGTGAACACTCTTACACGAAACGGATGCGTGTGTGACATTTGTTGCAAACTAAAATATTGCTCCCCAAACTGGAATCACCATCTAGATCACCAACTAAATCAAACTTCTAGATCACCATCCACCTGTTGGGGCAGGGGAGTGTTGAAGGAACCTTAACCCATGGTACATACTAGCATTCCCGTGGCCAGAGTAGTCCATGCATGCCTTCCCACACCCACCTTTAGAGCATGACCATGTGGAAGTAGAAGCCCACCAATCACTTCCCAATTACAGTTGGAGCACCTGGGTTGGGAGAATTTCCCAGTGGAATGGGGATGATTGCTGGGAGGCTGGGATGGAAAACCAGCAGGTCAAAAGCTAAGGGTCGCTCTGTGTGGGGAATGGAGGCAGTAATGTGGTGATAAGACAGTGGAGGGGAGGGCTGGATGGTAGGAAAATGTAGAAGTTTTAACTGAATAAGCGACATATTAAGGATTGTTTGATACAGAGCTAGGCTACAGAAGTCAGCAATAGACTGGGTGAAAGCAAGGAGGGAAAGAAGTGGGAAAATGTGTATTGCATCATCTGTCCTACTGCTTTGTTTTTATGCTGCATTTTTTATTAGATTAAAATAGTTTATTATCAAGGACTACATGCACAGTTCTCTATAAGCTGAGCACTTGGGCAGAACATTGCCTACATATTTGAATTGTGGGCTTCTATCAGCTTTATGGGATATGCAGCTATTAGAATAATGAGGATCAGCTGGTGTCCCAGGACTTGACAATGGACTGATTTAGAATGAAGTTCTAGCCTTCTTTAGAGTTTGGGCAGTATTGCACCAATTCTTTCCCCTTTGATGTTCAACTGATCTATTATGTAGTAAGCTAGAAAGGCTTTTCAGGCAAACACTACAGTGGGAGAAAAGATGGAGTGGTAAAGCAAAGGGGAAAGTTACAGGAAGGTAAACAGATAGAACATCAAAAAAAAAAAGATGCAATAAGAGGAAAGGATGTAGGCCAGTAAAATGATCTTTAATTAAAATCAAGGTGGAATATTGCCATACGAGGAAGGCTAAAGGAGAAATGCAAGAGGAGAAAGTATGGATGTTTAATCATAAGCATTTATAACAATGAAAATTTGCGGGGAATAAGTGGGAAAACTAGAGGTCTTACAATCAAAACTTTGTGTGTGGGGGGAGGGAGGGTTAGGGTTGGCATTACATTAGTGGGGAAAGAAATAACTGCAGTGTCAGTTCAAATTAGCAAGATATATTCAGGAGAGAGAGGGACTAGTATGAGAAGTTGTTGAGCAGTAGAGTAGAGAAAGATAATACTCCAATTCTCTGGATTAAACTAAAACCCATTAAGATCAGAACAGAAGGTCCATTGAGATATGTATGTGGGAGCACACCAAATCACAGAGAGGTAGAGTTCAAGGTCTATCCTGGAAGTTTTGCCTTGATGCATGTGGGAAATATAATATTAAGGCGTCCACATGTTTTTTAATTACATAGTATAGATTACATGAAATGGCTAATTTAGATTCCTCAAATTTGAGATTTTGGATTGGGTAATTCCAAGTCTGTCACATGTAAGGCCAGTACATTAGATCAGAAACTGAAGGCACAGTTTTTCTCTGGCTCACCAGCCTCATGCAGAACTCCCATAGAACCTCATAGGCGGTTCTGTGATTATTGTCCCATCCTGCAAATGTACACAGGGTAACCAGACATGAAGGTTAGTATCTGTAAGTCACTTCTGACCCTGAAGAAGGAGAGGAGTTTATGGTTCTTTGGGTAGAGTAGGTCACCATGTAAAATTGGATTTCACATCTCAAGTTGCTGAGCTGCTGTTTGCTCTACTGTTGCTTTCCTTATAGTTTATTGACTACAGGGTCTTCAACATGCTTGTGAGCATGCTTGTGAACTCAGCTTTGCTGAGCTAATTCCAATCTGATTGCAAAGCTGATTTAGATAGTTCAGATACTCAAGTCCTCTATTTGAACATGGCACCTATTTTACATCCACATCAACTACTGAGACTTGACTTAGGAAGTTTTATGGTCTCATTGATATTGGTGCACAACTGATCTCCTGTCCCGACCTGTGAGTCTGTCAACTCACCAGCACCTTTTGCCATTTTAAGGGGGACCCTCAACTCTGTAACCCTTTGCCATACTCTGGTTTAATGGTGATCTCTACCTTGAAACAGCTGAATTATGCATAGGTTGGCAGAGAAATCATCTGGAACCTGATCTTTTCTAGGGGACATTCATTTGTGTGTACAAAAGAGCACTCACAACCAAAAAAAGTTACTTGTCCTCACACATAGACACCTCAAAAAGATTATCTAGGTAGACTTTTTCATTAGTGCGCAGTCTTGTTAACTGGACTTATTTGTCCCATAAGTACTTCCTTCAGAAGACAGCTCTATTGACAGCGTGATGTTACATGAGAGACTACTTTCAGATTACTTTTTACAAGCCTTTGGAATTTGAGAACTTCAGGCTCCTCAGGGCTTCTCGTCCATTAGTTGCATTTGGTTTTGTTTCTAATGGGGAAGTCTTTCATCTTCTGGGCTCCCCAACACTCACCACATGTAGATCTGAGCCATGTTTCTCTTGGTCACTCAAAACAAGTGGTGTAGCTATGATGCTGTTACTGGAAGTCCATAGCAATGTCTTGTTTTGTGAGAAGTGGCTGCCAATTGTCCTTAAATATGAAGAAGTTCACCTCCTCTCCAGTGAACCAACTCTTAACATTGAAGTTCTAATTAATTACTACCAGTCAGAAGCCTCCCATTTATAGAAAAGGTTATTGAGAAGGTTATGTCTATTGAAGAGATACAAAGTTATATACTTGGACATGTCTTCTGAACTATTACAACAAAGCTCTTTTTTTTTTTTTTTTTTTTTTGCAACTGACTAGTTAATTTTGCTTTCAGAGTGTGAACAATTTGCAATAAACAATTTGTAGTCTAGTTGAAAAGAATCTACTTATTTTCCCTCTAATTCTTCAGTTTGTCTTTATTGCATGTTTTCAGGTTTTTCTCTTTTTAGTTGTCAGCTTCAAACAGAACCACAGATCACTTAAATTTGAAACATTAGGGTGGTTTTTTTGGGGGGGGGACTGTTACCACTTAAAGGAGAAAATAATTCACTAGCAAAAATCTTATCACCTTGCTTTGCATGCAGGACTTCCTTTGGTACAAAGTGTTAGGCTTTGTCCACACTACACAGCTTTTAGCAACAGGGCTGTGTTGACACAATGATGTTGCTAAAAGGCAGGCAGTGAAAACCACTGTCTGCACTTTTGCTAACAAAAAAATCCACCCCAATAGAGAGCACTCCTGCCAACAAAGCGCTGTTTACCCCAGTACTTTCCACTACACAGCTTTTGTTGTGTGAAGGGAGGGCCTTAAGAACGTATGAATGACACAAGCTTTGTTGCTCAGTTGCTAGTGTAGACAAAGCCATAAGGCACAATATGTGCCAGTTTTCCAGTTAAAGTGAAATCAATTAATCTTAAATGGATGGCATACTTAGGCTTACAAACATTAAAGAACCTTCTTGAAAATGCAGTATTGTCCAAGAAAAAGTTTAAATTTCCCCAAAAGATGCGATTGCTTTGTCACTTTAAAAGATTCTAATTTGACCTGAATTTGTTTCACAGCTACCCCTTGAATAACACTGACCTTCATCAGTTCAACATTGAAGAAAACGGTGGAACACCATTTACCACAAAAATGTGTGCAAGGTATCAACACCACCACCACCGGCATCACCATCACCACCCTAATTATGGGGTAATTGTTCCCGACAGCAAAGAGATTGTTTCTGGAGTTCCAAACCCAAATAGTAAGTCTCTGAAATGTAACAGAATTTCAGTTATTACTGTGGCATGAGCCCTGTCACAGGCACAGAAATGGAGCATCAAAGACGAGGAGCTATTGCATTTCAGGTTTTCTCAATGAAGAACAAACTTCGTAGTGTATTCAAATTTCACGGTTGATGCAAATTAGTCAAGATTCACAGTTTTCTGGCTCTGCTGTTGAATACATGGTATGGGGATCTGGCAATTAATTTGAATTCCAAAAGTGAACAAGTGCTGGGTTAGTCATAGACGCTTGGCACAGAATGATTTATTTCATTATTTTTATTTATATAGTGTCACGAGCATATCCCTTTTTCTTCCTTCGCTGTACTCCCAGCCTGCCAATATGCTGCTGACCTGGTTCCTGCTTTTCTCCTGGGACATCTGGCATTGGCCACTGTCAGCAGACAGAATACTGGGCTAGATGGACCTTTGGGCTGACCCAGTGTGGCTTTTCTTATGTTCTCAGTTTCTCCTCACCACCTTTTAATTTGAATCAAGCAGCTTTCTTCTTAGTGCTGTTTGAGGACCAGCAGGAGGAGCATGGAAAGCACAGGACAGTCAGTCTCCGTGCCAAAGGCTCCAGTGCTAAACTCTACACTCCCTCTCCCCAGGTGGCAAGGAAAAGCAATTGCAGGAAATTAGAAGAGGCTGGAATGTGATCAGTGTAGGCAGAATCTTCAAGTATGTAGCTTCCAGACTCTCACACCTCTACTGAATGGGTGAAAATGGCAATTTTCAGAGGCTTATAGCACAGACACATTCTTGAGTGGATTTTCTCATAGAAAATACCTCTCGACTTCAGGGAGACATCACCGCCCAAAGCATGGAGGCACTGGAGCTTCTCAACAAAACACTTGTAAGAATGTTTTTAACACTGGCAAAATGCTGTATAAAAAACCTTGTTGGCCGAAGCGTCTTTGTTCTTATCCTCAGCCATCACCCCCAGGGGTCTTATTTCCTTCTGGATTGTAGCTAAGCAGATCCTTCTCCATGCTACTGGGGAGCCAGCAGAAGGGGCTGAGGAGTGGATAAGGAAGGAGAGCACAGAAGAGGTGGTTTCCCTGTTCTCACTTCTGGTATATGACAATACACAACCCAGAGGAGGAGTGGCAGAGAATGTCTGCCCCTGCCATTCTGGGCTGGAGCATGCACTGGGGGATGGTAAAATACTCAGTCCAGATGACATGCAAAAATTCTGATAGAGCAGGCTTAGTACTAATGGAATATTGGAGGCTAGAGCTGCCAGACTCTGAGCATGTGTAAACAGTGATTTTTGGCAGGCTTATAACTTGGCCAAATTTAGGCAGGCTTTCATAGGACTAGCAAAAGGCACATTCCTGATAAGAGGATTTGACTCACTGGCCAAATTTCAAGTCCCGGCTCCAAAATTGTAGAGATTCTCAATGAAACTTAGTTCAGGCATTTTTAAAAGGGAGGAAACAATGATTTTCTCCCCTAATCTCATATTCTGAACTGTCTGTTCCCCGCTCCTCCCCCACCCCCCTTTTTTTTTTTTTTGCTTTGTTGACACTTACTAAATTTCAATCTGAAATGGCACCTGGTTAAAAAAAATCAGGTTAGAAGCAAGTGAAAATAAGATTTTATAGTGGTAAGTTTGGGCAAACAATAATAGACTGTGCTTCCAACTCTGTCTCTATTAATACACATATGAATTTCCATGTACATACAGTTACCTTATGAGCAGATCAATTATGGATCTTTTTAAACAACTTTATTTTAAACTACATTTCTGGGGAAAAGAAGAAGAAAACTTGAAGGCTGAAACTCAAGAAGCAAATCTTGAGGTTTGCTTTTTCAATATGGATCCTCCAATCATCTGCAAACCTTTTACTGAGACTCTAAATGTGGTTAGGTTATTAGTTTACAGGGAAATGTCCCTTAGGGCTACTGTGTTCTAGTGTTTAATCCCTTACATGCTGTACTTCCTCTTATCCATTTGTTACAGCATTACAATGCCATGTCAGTGAGGGGATTTACATGATGAGTGTCAAGATTACTGACTATATCAGAGCAGAATGTTGACAGGAGACTCCTGTAAGAGGTCACTGAGTATTTGATCAATGACATAAGACTGATGTCTTATCCTTGTCTTTCAGTATCATAGTGGATTATTTTTCCCATCAAGAATGTAATACAGATGGTCCCATTATGTAGAATGTAAAACAAAAAATAGAATTGGGTAAATATTTAGAAAGTAAATCCAGCCTGTTTTGGCTCACCTCTTTATCTTAAGCGACGAGGAGTCCTGTGGCACCTTATAGACTAACTGAAGTCTATAAGGTGCCACAGGACTCCTCGTCTGTTCAGGTAGTGTTTTGGTCGTTTTCTGCACATAGGAAATATATATATATATATATATATATATAGTATCATGAGCTTTCGTGGGTAAAACCCACTTCCTCAGTGACACAAAGATGGACATATCTGTAGAATCAGGTTGCTGTTTGTTTCGATTAGGGTCTGCACAGATTGTTAGCATGCTACAGTATATTGCTGGAGTTTGCAATACAAGGGTCTGACAGAAATTAGGGAAATAACAGGTGGCAGATGCACTAGGAAAAGCATAGGAAGCTCAAGTATAATAGGCAAAGTAACTTAGAGCACTCTGAAGTTGTGTGAGAAAATTCTAGTAGAACTGGTACAGAGCAAACTTCAGAGATTTCATAAATCAGTTGGGTCCCATATCCAGGGTATTTTAAAAAAGCATTTTAGGAAGGGAGAAGAGAGAGAGCAGTTGTTGCTCTGATATGAGATACCCCATATCTATAGCGCTTATCTTTTTATTCTTTGGAGAGATGAGGATAATTTAAAAACAGCATGATACAATGTGGAATATTTTATTGCAGCTCTGCGCTGATTGTTAAACCTCTTCACTTTCCTTTATTTTAGTGACTCGCAAGGCTGCCATAGAAAAGTGATACAAAGGCAAAAAACAGGAATAATTCACATTTATACTGAATATTTGTAACCAACTTTGAGAGGGCTAAATTTCAGCCTATTATAATGTTACAGTCAGTCTGTTCATGCAGGCTGTGGATCAGAAAAATGCAACATGACTTCTATGAGTTTCTGTTGACAGGATTGGGTGGGGGGCGGGGTTTAAATCAATGAGATATCCGTATCTTTCCTCATGCACATGATAGTCTCCCAGTATATCCCTGCAGGTATTTTATTCTGAAATTGTTTACATATCAAAAAAGAGATTTTTTTCTATATAGTACATACAGTGTGAGTTCCTAGGATACTGTATTAGGCCTATACACACTTTTTCTACTGATTTGGTTATAGTGTGAATGTTTACCCAAGAAGTTAAATTGGTACAGTCTCTGTTTCATGGGACTAGGTCATGGGTGGGCAAAAGGGCCTCTGTGGGCTGGGGCGACCCGCCAAGCGGGTGGATCCGGCCCGCGAAGGGCCTGCTGCTCCCCTGCCCCCAGGCCAATCAGGGCCTGGGGGTGAGGGAGTGTGCAAAGCCTCCTCCCGCCCTGCCAAGAGCACGAGGCGCTTTGAAGCGCTGTGCGCTGCTTGCAGGGCAGTGGGGGGAGTGGAGGAGGCTTTGCACGTTCCCCCCACCCCCAAGTTCTAATTGGCCTAGGGGCAGGGGAGCGAGGGAAATCTGCTCCCAGGGATACTTGGGGTGGGGGCAAAGGCACTCCCTCGCCCTCAGACCAATAATTGTCTGGGGGTGGGGAACCCGGAAATATATTGGCCCTGCCCCTTCTGTTTGATGCCACTACCCTTCCTGTACGGCCCGGGGCCACTTCAAAAATTTTTAAAGTGGCCCCTGGCAAAAAATTATTGCCCACCCCGGACTAGGTTATACTGGTATAAGCACCTTTCTATCAGTATAACTCCATCCACATTAGTAGGTTGTACTGCTTTAACTATGTAGGTTTAAAAATGATATATTTAAAGGAGTACAAATTATGTGTATAGACATGCTGAAAATAAGACAAATAAGCTTTATATACCAGGTACTTCTGTGGGAAGCCCAAGCCATGTGCTCTGACCTCTGGCCCCAGACTCACTGCTAGACTGAAAATATTATCAGGGGAACAAGTGCACGGCAGGTTCCTGTGAAGGAGGTAAGGGGAGGGCTACCTTACATGTTGTAGGCACTGCATTAGGAGGCTTTCAACAACACAGGTACAGGAACTGCTATTTCACGGGACTTTGGGGGCATGTTTGATAACTGCCCAACTAGTAAAAACAGTGTTCACTTGGCACTTGGACACAATGATGTTACAGTAGATTAGGATTCAATTCTACATTTCTAAAGATGGTCCATGCATGCTTTGTGACTCAGGTGTATTATTAGAACAACCTTCACTGGACAAATGGATCATGGTCACAGCTTGTCAACCAGTTAGAGCATTCCCATTTCTCTGTCTCCAAATACACAACAGGAAAAGGCAATTAGTCCTGGCTGCTGCTTCTCTGATTCCAAATGAGACTTCATGGAGTGCTGCTCTTCTGGAAGATGTGTGGCACTGTTTGACTCTGGCATGGCAGATCTTGGTGCCAACCTACTGACTCCATCCACATGGGCTGTTTCAGAGACTGTGGATTCCCATATGGAAAGCAGTGCCCCCAGGCAACCATCACATAATGCCTGATCGTCTGACTCAACCGCTGATCTATACCCAAAACTGACAGTCAGATAACAACTAGGTACAGGAGGCCACTGTAACAAGAAAGGACTTCTCCCCAGCTTGCTAAGAACTCACTGCCCATCCCACAAACTTTTTTATACAGTTTTATTCTCCACACACAGGTCAAATCAACAAAAACATAGTTACACAACTCTTACCTACTAGGGTGCAATCCAGACTAATAATTAGCTGGGTCATCCCTGGCCTGTAACCTGGGGTGCTCTTTACAGAACCCTGCTGCTGTAGTCCCCCAGCCAGGACAAACAGCCTCTAACATGTAAGTCGGTCCAAACTATGGCGCTTTGTGGTTCAGCCAGCCAATCACACCTTGGCTCTTAGCAGCCTTGGTTATTCTACACGGTGATCCCAAATACACCTTCAGTTTTGGATCTTCCCCACAAACTGTATGTTCTGTTTTGCCCAACCCTCTTCTGGGCAGTATGAATATGCTATCCATTGTTCCTTTAAGGGAACAATATGCACACAATTTGTTATCCCAAAAGGAGTTACCCAGCTTGAACACACGAAACTAGATAAAACAGTAAAAGAAGTGCATTAATGACAAAGATATTTAAAAAAACAAAAGATCTGGCAGCACTTTATAGACTAACAAAACATGTAGATGGTATCACGAGCTTTCGTTGGCACAGCCCACTTCTTCAGATACTATTTACATGTTTTGTTAGTCTTTAAAGTGCTACCAGGCCTTTTGTTGTTTTTTAAGTTTATCCTGTGCAGACTAACTCAGCTGTACCCTGACGCTTCCAAAGACATTTTAAGTGAGTGCATGGAATGAGGCATAAAAGTTGGAAATGGTTATAAGAAAAATAAAGATGAAACATTTGCCAATGTTAACTTAACTAACTAACTATATTAAATTCAGAGCACAGTTTCGGACCACATGCTCCAGCAGATTACTGACCAAACTCTAAGGGCTAGATGATTCCCCTAGAGTCCACTGGCTGCGTCCTTTGTCCTTCCAAGGGCAGTGAATGTGATGGATGGAGGGAGGGATGGCCTTGTGATGTTTGTCCCTCTTTTTTAACATTCTCAAAAAACATTTCCAACTCAGACTTAGGAGAGGAAGAATCTATATGAAAGGATATTCCCTGATGTTTTTTACCACTCTGTTTACCCTCCCTGATTGATGACTCTGTTTCCTGCTTCAGTGCAAGTTAAGACAAGTGATAGAAATGTAGCCGTGTTAGTCTAGGGTAGCTGAAACAAAATACAGGACTAGGTAGCACTTTAAAGACTAACAAGATGGTTTATTAGGTGATGAGCTTTCGTGGGCCAGACCCACTTCCTCAGATCAAATAGTGGAAGAAATAGTCACAACCATATATACCAAAGGATACAATTTAAAAAATGAACACATATGAAAAGGACAAATCAAATTTCAGAACAGAAGGGTGGGGGGAAGGTAAATGTCTGTGAGCTAATGATATTAGAGGTGATAATTGGGGAAGCTATCTTTGTAATGGGTAAGATAACTAGAGTCTTTGTTAAGACCCTTTGTTAAGCACAGACTTGACTTCTGCCTGGGCAGGGCTATGGGGTTTGGAAAATGTGTTAATAGCATCATAAAATGGAATATTATAACTTCTCTTGCAATGTTACCATGTGTTTCACCAGGACATGTAGCATCTTTATTCTAAGTAGTGCTAGTAGAGTCACAGGCAAAACTCATGGACTGAGCTGCTACTCATCTTGAGAAACTCAAAATCTGGTCCAAAGTTGGTTTAAGTCACATTATAATTTGGAAGAAGAGTGTTTGCTAAATAGAAAAGGGAAAATGATGCAACAAATGCATTTTAAAGCTTTGTAGAGGGTATTGCAGAAAATAAAGGGTATTTAAAATGTTGATGGTATCTCCTCATGTGTATCTGAGTGTTTTGATCTGTGATGCTCTTGTAGTTTTCCTTGAGATTTTGTTTTTTCTTTCTTTATTTTGGGCCTCTTTTTAGAACTGAGCTCAGGACTTCCCCTCCTTTATGATAACCCTTCTGCCCATCTGAAGAAGATGGAAGTGGAGACTGTGAAGGTAGTTGGACCTTGGCCAGCTCTGCACATCAATATAAACAAGGTATTATAAAGTAGTATATAACAGAGAGCTCTTCTGTTTTATTCAGCAGTTGATGGTATTTCATTATTAATTCATCCCAGCATTTGGCTACAACAGTTTCACTTATTCATCTCCCATTGTTTCCTTTTTGTTCTTTAAAAATGTCCTTCCACTTTCCCTTTGAAATTCAATCCAGCCAAAAGTAGGGGGCAAAGGCTTAGTTTGTGTATGTTTGTATATTTCTCACAATAATATAATTTATTTGCCACCATTCCTTGTAAAGTGTGTTGTTCACTGTGCAGGTGTTGTATATATTGGAAATATTTACAGGATGGCAGCTGAACAATGGGAGTAGTGGGGAAGCAGGTGTGGGGAAGAGAATAGAGTCAACAGTATCAAGTGACAAAGGAGTAATGGTACTTAATTTAAACCATGATAAAGCTGTTTCAGTTGTGCTATTATTCTGCTTTCACTTTTAAGGGTTTCTCAGCTAGGTAATGTACAAATGTTAAAAAAATCATATTCCTTTTTCACATAAGATGAGTCTATTATGTTTTGGAACTAGCGTGGCATTGGGCTACATGATAGAACCTTATAACTTGGTGCCTCATTCTATAGCTATTAATTTCAGAACTCTGGTGGAAGCCAATGGAGCAGTGCAGATTACAAGTCTTACAACATCAGGCCTTCTAAGGCTCAACCCTAAGCCCATTGAAATCAGTGGAAATGTTGCCATCGCATTAAAGAGATGGAGAATTAGGCCCTTAATGAGTAAACTTAATAAAAGAGGAAGTAGTGTTTGGAAAGAATTCTGACCCTCACTTCTAGGAGGAATGTAATTTGATGACAATGTTAGTTTCATACAGAAGATTCTATGTTGTTGCTATTTCAGCACAGGTTGTGCAGTAAGGGAGTCATAGGTCCAGAATGTATCATGGGTAATGAAGTTCAGTGGGTGATCCTGGTCCATACACGAGAATGGGGACTTGAGCAAATAAACTCTACCTCCATTGTGGCACTGTGGTGACATTTCCAAAAGTGACATATTTTTACTTTTTCGCTGAAAATTAAAGTCTTTTTGGTCTTGTGGTGTTTATATTTTTCAACAAAAAAACCCCGCACTTTTTTGCAAAAAACCAAAACACACAAAAAAGAAAAGAAAAAAAACCCCAACAACAACAGCAAACAAAAAAACCCGAATTAGTCAAAAACTGCTTGGAAGAAAAAAATTCCAACAGCCTTATTAGAAACATGTAACCTGAAAATAAGGCATATATTTTTAAATAAGTATAACGAACCATTGGAATAACTTACCAATGGAAATTTTCCATTGTCTAGAACCTTTAAACTAAGATTGGCTATACTAATGTACTAAGCATTATTTCTCATATGTATGAAGATAGTACCTAGGAGGCCAGACAAGAATGGGTATTATGTTAGGTGCTGTACAAACATGTAATTATTTCTGCCCTGAAGAGCTTACATACTAAATAGCCAAGACATGAGAAAGAGATTTAACACACAAAAGTAATGTGCTGGCTGGCTGTAAGCCACTAATTGCTAGGCTCAATGCAGGAATTAAATGGTGCATATATATGGCCTATATAATTGATGAGGTCAGACTAGATGACCATAATAGCCCCAGTGTTGCCTCAACATATCTAAATTTACATATTAAAATGACATCTCATTTGAACTTGTCTTTTCTAGCTGTTAATTCCCTTTTCAAGCAAACTGCTTTGGGATTGAAATTTGTCATGCTTATCAACCTAAGGTGAATTTTATAAAATAATTGGATCAAATTAGGTTCAGTGGTTAGGAGTTAATTTGATTGTCTGCTGCAGCAAACTGCATCTCATGGGAATGAAAAATGGTTTAGGAAAAGAAGTAGGACAAATCCAGTTGATATGATTACTGTCCATTCAGTTGGTGAGCAACATCAATCAGTTTCATGATGTCTGTTGGTCTCTTTGGAGCCTGAGAGATTATTTTTACCCTTCAGGATGAAGAGGAATATTGCAGGCATAAATATTTTAATTTCCTTTTTTTTCTATGTTTCTGTTTCCTTGCAAACATCTCTTCTTCAGTCTCTCACAGCTGCAGAGTACCAGGTACTGACTGCTCACCAGTGAAGTCACATACCCTAAAGCTGTGCAGCAGCCTGTCTCTTGCAAGGCAGCAAAGTCTGTCCTTACTGCAGTTGCAAATGACCTAATGAGTGAGAGAAGATAAACAGGTGACTCTTATCTGATGCATCCCTGTGCTGTATAAGGAGCAGGGTGTGTTCAGCTGGGTCTTATCTTCACTAGAAAATAAGGTGTGTTCTGTACTTGTGTTGGCTCAGCTGTGGAAAGTGATATGGTTGAGGAACTCAGTGAAGTCAAGGTCATTTGTAGGTGGCTTCCCCCCCCCCCCCCCCCGGGTGTGGTGTGGGAACTCATGTGAAAACTCCAAACTGCCTTGTCTCCTCCAGGCTCTTACTTCCTGCTTGTTACTATTTGTTAGCTAACATGAGCTAAGAAAACATCTTTTTCTCTTAGTGAAGGCACCCCTCTTTACTCTTGAGAAGGACTCAGAGAAATAAATATATTAAAAATTAGCTTAAGAGGCTAAGACACATTAGAGATAAATTGGAGCAGGGAAGCTGACAGGACTTGCCAGCCCCCTGGGCAAAGTGGGGGGGAGAGGGGCAGCTCCATGCTCCCAGAAGGGGTGGGGCTTCCTGTGGAAGGAGCAGGGCCCTGGCAGCTAGACCTCAACACCATCTGAAGCACCCAGTGTGGCCCCCGGTAACCCTCAGAGCTGCCCAGAGCATGCCACCTGGCAATTCAGCTGTGATTAAAAGAGTATGGGGCTCTGTCCATCGCTGCTGCCACAGTAACAGTGGCTAAAAACCCCGGGCCCGTAAAATCACCAGGGTCTGGAGCAGCTGACCCCTTTGCCCCTCCCCATCAGCAGGCCTGAACAGGAAGGAGGGATAAAACCATAGAAGTTGCTGTTTTAAATCCTAATTTAGTTCCAAACAACATATGAATACAAGAGGATTGAATCCAATTAGTTTAAAGTGAAAAAATAAGATCAAAACAACAATAGGATTGCAATTATTAAAACACACACTCACACACACACACATACACAAAACAACAAGTAACAGGTAATGGGGGTTAGAAGTAACTCAGCCCACTTCCACCATATGCTATTCACTTAATGCTACCAGCAGCTGTCCCATTTTTCCCTTTCTTCAAAAAAAATCTGATTTTGTATCAGTGCAACAATGATGAAACTTAAGTGAATCCATGCTATTAGTAAATGACATTGATGGAGCTGGTGAGAGGAAATTGATGTGTCGTCAGTTATGTAAAAGAGGAGCATTTGGATTAGTGATTTAAAAAAAAAGTGTTTTGGTGTTGCATATCTCGAGTATTTCCATACTCACCTGTTCAAAAATCATGAAACTTTCTTGAAAATCATTAATTATAGTTCTTTTTTTTTTTTAATAATAACGTTGGGGGTCATTTTATCTTCTGGCTTCTGACCTTATTGAGTGCACTTAGATCATATTTTCAAACTAAATTACTTTTCCAAAAAGATGAAAACGAATATACTCTTGTATTCACATGAATCCAGCACCTGAAGCATTCAGAAGAACACCAAATATAATGAGACACATGATGAAATTACAAGGATTGCCAAAACTGTGTCTATATATATATTTCTTTAATGACTTCCACATTGAATGTGCTGAGTTTACACATTAAAATGGGATTTTAATAACTGCCAACCTGACACAGTGTCTGAATACAGTTGCTATTGTTATACTTCATTTGTCTTTGTTAGCAATAAGGATTCTGGAGAATTAACAGACAATTTTGCTTATTATGCATAAGCACAAAAAAAGTGGAGTGCAACTTGCATTTCTGCAGTGACAGTGTATGAGTTATACAGTGCTGATAGTTTTAAAATCTTTTGTTTTCTCATAAACTATGCTAATATAATTCCTAGAGAACCAAATAACCTATATTTATTTACATTGCTTAATGCATTAAAAGTAGTATCTTGCGCAACTTGTAGCGGCGTTTCTCCTTTTAATTAATAGAATAGATTAATAGTGTCTTTTAAATAGACGAGTCAGGAAAAAGGGCACCAGTCAATATAACTAATGGGGAACTCAACTTGTCCTTATGTGTATACCATTGAATGAGCCCAGGATGGCATGACAACCACTGAATAACTGCTTTAAGTGAAACATGTACTATTATTTTCATGTTGAACTTTGTATTTTTTAAATTATAGATGGGTGAAATCTTGGCCTTATTGAAAGATCTGTCATCACTCCTGCAGATTGGTGGACAGTTTCTAAAATTCAGAATGTATGTGGAGGTCAGCAGTTATGGGCTAGATTGTAACATTACCTGACCTAAATAAAGAGGTAGTGCATAGCTATTCATCCCATGGACCAACCAGGCAGAGTTCCCCCTTGCTCCAACTACTCCCAGGTCACTACCACCTTTGCCCTAGATCATCTTTGCTAGAGCCCAGGCTCTGAGACCCTGCAAGGGACATTGGAGTTCAGAGTTACTCCTTTCTGTGCCTGTGAGAACCCAAGTCTGCTGACTCAGGCTTTGAGGCTCAGTGCCACAGGGGTTTTGTTGCAGTGTAGACATACCCAAGAGAGGCCATTCTTGCTGTGAGCCAAGATGCAGGAAAGCTTGCACAGCAACAGAAAAACAAGCCCCAATCCTATCTCTGTAAGGTTTACATTGGAGAACACAGCTACTGGCTACTGAACTGCAGAGTAGTAATGTATGAAATGTAAAAAATCCAGCTGGGTCTTTAAGTATCATTTCCTCTTGTTTGTACAGTGAAATACAATGGGTAAATCTAATGTGACTGAAATCATAATGCCATCTAATTAGTTTCAAGCTCTAAAACAAAGATTGATTTTAACATGCCTTTTAGAACTGTCATTCTATTACAGTATGCTGCTTGTATTCCCCATAGAGAGCAGAATGCATATGGGT